ATCCCACATAATCTGACAAAATCTCAAAAAGATGCTCGTGTTGATTGGTGCAAACAAATGCTTAAGAAATACAATGGCGGTGCTTCAAAAGACGTGTATAAGATTGTAACAGGTGACGAATCAAGGATATATGCGTATGAGCCGGAAACTGAACAGCAGTCGACTGTATGGGTGTTTCAAGATGAACCAAATCCAACAAAAGTTGTTCGCGCTCGAAGCACTTCGAAACAAATGGTCGCCTGTTTTTTCGGAAAAACTGGTCATGTGGCAACAGTGCCTTTAAAGGAACGTAGAACGGTCAATTCTGAATGGTACACAACCATTTGTTTGCCGGAAGTCTTCAGTGAAATAAGGAAAACAAACAAGCGCTGCCGGATCATTCTTCATCAAGACGATGCCAGCTGTCATACATCTCGTCTAACAACCGACTATTTGAGCACTCAAAAAATCGAATTAATGGGTCATCCGCCGTACAGTTCTGATTTGGCACCAAAAGACTTCTTTTTGTTTTCGAACGTCAAGAATAAATTGCGTGGACAACGATTTTCGTCGGCAGAAGAAGCCGTTGATGCGTTCAAAGACCATATTTTGGAGGTGTCTCAAACGGAATGGACAAAATGCTTTGACAAGTGGTTCGAACGCATGCAAAAGTGTATAGATCATAAAGGAGAATATTTTGAAAAACAATAAGTGACAAATTATTGTTTTTTTATTATTATTTTTATTATTAGGCTCAAAATATAAATAGTGATCCTCGTATACGAACTTCTTATATTAACGATTGAAGACTAAACACGTCAATCCCATTTATACCACAGCCAATCACATTAAATAGTTTAATTTGGAAATCCATCAGTGGAAGCAATCAGACTTTGTACGTCTATCCATTTATTCTATATTTTTACTTATATACGCGGACTTCCATGTATTAACGACTGAAGACGAAATATGTCAATCCCATTTATAACACAGCCAATCACATTAAATAGTTTAATTTGGAAATCCATCAATGGTAGCAATCTAACTTTGTACGTCTATCCACTCATTCTATACTTTTACTTATATACGGACTTCCATGTGTGTGATAAAAATTGACGAATATATCAAGCATTAATTTTGATCGTGTGTCCTATTTTGACATTAAAAATAAGCGTCGAGCATCGCAGCATGTATGCATGAAAAGGTATCACTAGGGCTACGTTGAGAAATACACACTAGTGTGCCACTAATGCACACCAGCCGTTCGGAAAACTCGATATGTACTCGCGGTGTGCATTCGGGTGAGATCGTTCGGAAACGTAAAAAGAGTTAAGCGGGGAGCACAGGCTCATCTTGCATAATAATGCATAACACATGAGAAGATGAACCAATCAAAGTCCTTTATTTCCTTTCTTTCCGTGAAATAAAGGACTCTGATTGGTTGATTTTCTTATGCCTCATGTTTTATGCATTATGGAAGAGTCTGTGCTTCCCGCTTTAAACGGAATACCACTAATCCACCCGTCGTAAAAGCATTGGCTGCGTTCAGCAGAGAAAGCAGCTTTGCAACTGTTGTAAAATTCTTCAATATGATTGGTTTTGCCCTTAGTTCCTCATTGGATTTAAATGTATAAATCAATTATATTCAAGAATTTTACAACAATTGCAAAGCTTCTTTTTCTGCTGAACGCAGCTTTTGTGTATATATATATATATATATATGTGTGTGTGTGTTAGGCTACGATTCACTTGTCGAAATAATGCAAGTAAGCAAAGGGAGTGGACTATTAAAAAAAAAAAATAAATGAGAATACACACAGTAAAAAGTTAAAACATTTATTATAACCCTAAAATATATGAGACAACATTCTCAGTCTTTTAATATCACAACAATACATAATCATATGAGACAACATCAGTTTTTAATTATCACAAAGAAAAATATCAATTCCTGCAACCAGGAAATTTATTTTGTAAAATCTAAAAGAAGTAACGTTGCTAAAATATTTGACAGAAACTCCGGAAATGAAATACAATCAACAAAAATTTAAAAAGAATTGAAACAAAAAAATAAAAATCAATCAAAACATAATTTGTTTCTAAAAAAGGAATAATTTTTTTACATAATATGATTCCGAAGCCCCTTTCAGTCATTTTCGTTCTTAATCTAAATATAATATTCGTTTAAATTTATACTTAAATAACTTTGATATATAAAAATACTTAAATGATATAAATCACAGTACACAGCCAGAGACCAAATACATTTAATCAACATTAAAATTAAAAATGAGAATTTAATTAAACTGGAAATAAAATATGACCATTTCACTTAACGAAAACAAAAAATATGCAGAAACAAAAAATTTTTGTCTCACGTTCCACGTTATATATTTGTACTATAGTACTATAAATATAATACAAAAATAAAGATATAAAAATTTCGCTTAAGAAAACATTTTAAAAAGAAATTGTAAGAATAAGTCTTTGAAATAAAAAATTAAGTAAAAATGAAAAAATGCTAAAATATGTGAAATAAATGATTTAAGTTTATTTAAATCGTTTGACTTTTTTCATAATGGTCTAAAGTTAATTCCTCTTATTCCTTTTTATCTTTGACATATTTAAAGATTAAGAAGGACTGTTAGGGATTTTGGGTACTTTAAATTTGTAATCGCCGCCTCCTTTCTCTTCTATGACTATATGGCTT